TGTTGCAAAGTGTAAACTGGCAGCCTATAAAAGCCTGTGTAAACCTACAAATGGGGTCCAGAGCTTGGAGTGTTAACTTCTCTGGGCCTGCTGGCCTTGTAAAGTTGAGTTCTCCAAATCTCCGAGTGCTGTTTGGTCTCTCACCTGGATCCAGATTGCTGTAACACTGAGCTTTAACACACTTTTCTGCAACATCCTGGCCAGACCCTCTAGGGTTCAACTGCCTCCGTGCATTTTTTAAAACCACCTCCTTCTCTTTGGAGAGAGGTCTTACTGTCATTTCTTACTACTCTCAGCTGCAGGCTACTCTTAGCTAGCCAATTCACCATTTCCTCCTGGGCCATGAAGGACAGAGGAATTCTTGCAGATGTTGATAAATCAGGTGATTCTATTAAAACCTTTCAGCAGCCAACACTGCAGAAGGTCTGCAGAACTGCACATGAAAGCTCTGAAAATCCCAGATTTATGTACATGGTTTCTGTCTTTGGGCTCACACAAAAGCAGACCCTAAAGTGAGGATTTGGATGGAGGTTATTTATTTGAGAGAGGACCCAGGAAATGTGGTGACAGAGTGAGTGAGACAGAAAAGGAAAAAAAAAAAAAACACCAAACCAATAAAGCTTGCATTTATGAACAGGGTACTGCTCTGGACAATTGGGGTCTAACCCCCTGGGGGCCCGCAGAGAAACTGCAGAACACACCTCAGAGTTGTCCTGCTGAGAGAAGCAAAAGTTGGGGTATTTATCTACAAACTCCTGCCCCTCTTTGGTTGAAAGTGGATCCTAGTGTGTTACTTCCTCTGTACCTTCCCGGGCCCTGCAGGCAGGTGCCCCTTGCCCAGAGAACACCCTCAGGCAGAGAAGCAGAGCCCTTTAGCACCGAGGGAACTGTATATATCTGAGTTCTGGGCCGGGCATGGTCAACATTAGTTACTGTCTTCTTCCCAGGAAGCATAAACAAATATTCTGTTCAAATGTGTAATTTAAAAATATGCAGCATGTTAATCTTTTGAAGCTTTAAAAAGAAATGTGTTTTCCCCACCCACTTTTCCCACCAGCTGCGTCTCATGGTTTCCTCGATGGGAAGCAAGATGAGGGGTCGAGTTGGGGTCACCACGTGTGGGCTTGTCACCCTGTCCATAGTAAGCACGCAGCTCACCATCCCCTGAACTTCCCATGTGCCTCACGGACAGGAGCAGCAGGAGGGTATCACTGAGACGTTGGGCTGACATGCCCACCGAAGATCCACCCTTGCTCCCAGTGACACTGGAAACGACTCTGAATCTTTGGAAAGAAAAAACTTTGATCCCCCCCCCCCCATTGAGAAGAAACTCTGTTTTCTTAAAAAATAAAATAAAACTATATATTTAACATACACGGTGAAATGATTACTACCATCGAGCTAATTAATATTACCATCTCCTCCCACAGTTACCATTGTGCGTGTGTGTGTGTGTGTGTGTGTGTGCGCGTGCATGTGTGTGCACGCGGTGAGAGGACCTGAAATCTACATATAAATGAGGTCACGCAGTTTTTTTTCTTTCAGTGTTTGGCTAATTTCATCTAGTATAATGTCCTCCAGGTTCATCCATGTTGTTGCAAATGACAAGATCTCCTCTTCTAAGGCTGAATAATAGCCCATTGTATATGTAATATGTTATAATTTTTTACCCATTCCTCCATTGACAGACACTTAGGATGTTTCTGTATCTGGGCTATTGTGAGTAATGCTGCAGTGAACATGGGAGTGCAGTTGAGGTACTTATTTCATTTCCTTTGGCTGTACACCCAGAAGAGGAATTGCTGATTCACATGGTAGGAAAAACTCTTTTTGAGCCAGTTGGGCAGGGGTACAATTTTTTCCACTATGCTTTTGCTTGGGCTACTGCTGGTAGCCCAAATGACATGAGTGATTTGCATGGAGAAAGAAAGGGAAAGAAGACGTTTCTCTGTTGGGGAAAGAGGTTAATAAGGTGACACTACTACCTTCTTCGTTTCCCTGACTCCCAGCCCAGCATCAGGGACTAGCACTGATTGCTGTGTTTTGGGGTACTCAATGGCAGTTGAAGGAGCTGGCGATATTAGTGATTTGAGACTTGGGGTACAGACCACTGCATCTCTAACTTTAGAGGGCCAAGTGTGACACAGCTGGAGACAGGTTGTCTCTGTTTCTGGGCTGTGCCTTGTACAGTGTTTGGGGAGAAGGAAGGGCCAGAAGGCCACACACGTCCCTTTAGCAAGTGGAGGGATTTGCAGCAGTAGGCAGTGCTCTGGCTGTGCGGGCAGCCTCCATGGACTATCTAGAAGCAGCAAATAGCAATAGGAAGGGCAGAGGGTAACCTTAGAAGGAAGCTGTCCACCCCCACTCACATCTCCAAGGTTGTTCTGGGAGAGCCCAAGGGGTACTGGGCTACAGACTCCAGATCTGTAGCGGTAGGTGGCAGCCAATAAGCCAGCCAAGTGGGAAGAAAGGTAAACTTGGCAGCAAAGAAATGAGGCTTGAGTATAGGAGGCTTGGAACATTCTGGTTACAATAAAAACAAAAAAACTCATGTCTTTAGCAACTTCGGCAAATGAAAGTCATAAAATCTGTCCCTCTTTCTGTTGACTCCTGTTCTTTGCTCCTTTCAGTACTACAGATCAGAGGCAGAAAAGAAACCAACTCCCAGCAAGATGAGTTAATGGTGATTAACTTCCCTTTAATCCTCTAGCTAAAAGCACTGAGTAGCTGAGTGACTGTGACGATCGTGTGTGGAACTGGCTCATTTGTGTGGGTTTGGACAGCTCTACTGGGTGTCTGCCTTATTTTCATGGGGACTTTCTTCCTGTGCTTCAAGTTTTAGGCAGTAGCTATAATTATGATGATTAGTTATAGAAAATGGTTGTTAGCTAACTTGTTTTAATTTACTACCACTTAAAAGCTATTCAGATGGGAGAAAATATAAGCATACTTCTCTTTAGAGGTTTAGGGACTAAATAAAGCAAAGCTTTGACTTTCTTCCTAACCAGGGAGTTGTTCCCATCATCAGGAAGAATTGAGGTTTCTATCCAAAAAAGGTCTAGATACTCACTAAGTCCATTGTGCTGGACAGCATAGTTCTTTTGGTGTTCCAAGAAATGTCATTAGTGCCCCCCAAAAAGTGTTCTACAGTTAAATGAGTGGTAACCAATGTGTTAGACAATGTCAAATAGGTCTGAGTACTGCAGATGACCTCTCAGAGACTTAATATTCTCACGTGTGGTCTGATTTCCATGATAGGGGACTATGAGTGGGCACTACATGGACAAATAAATTTGGGATACTGCCAGTACATCTTGCAGAAGGCTAGCTCTCTAGAACACAATTTGGAAAATGCCATGTTATAGACATGGAGAAGCACCACGCAGACCGCTGTTCAAGGCAGGACCTGCTGCCCAGATGCAAGGAATGTGATAGCAGACTGTCTCTAGCTGTCTACTTCTTAAGAATCTGCCTCAGCTGCAAAGAGCCTCCTTGCCCTTCCATGAGAACCCCATCCAGTGGCTGAGCAAGGTGGGTATAAAGGACCTGTCCTCTTGTCCAAGCCTAACAGTAAATACTTGCTCCAGAGCTCCTGAGTGGGTTGGTCCAGGCTTTGTCAAGTCTGCATCATTGTTTGACTTCTCCCTCTGCCAAATCCTGTTTTATCTTCCTTTCACAGGTCTTGATCCCCAATCAACATCTTGTTGCCCCCAGACAACTATCTTGACAGCCCCCAGACTGTCTCAGCAACTGCTTCTATAAAACACAACCTGTGATGTTACTTAGATTAAAACATATGAGATTACTGTACTTTATGAATGATCCTTATGAAATGGATGGAATGTTTGTGTCCCCAAAATTTGTACATTGAAACCTAATCTACAATGTGATGATATTTGTGGTGGGGAGGCCTTTGGGATGTGATTAGGTCATAGGGGTGGAGCTCTCATGAATGGGATTAGTGCCCTTATAAAAGACCCCAGATAGTTCCCTTGCCCCTTCCAACATGAAAAGTGAACAGGACACAGTGAAAAGCGGGTCCTCACCAGACACTGAATCTGCTGTCACCTTGATCCTAGCTATCCAGCCTACAGAACTATGCGAAATAAGTGTTTAATGTTTAAGCCATCCAGCCTGTGGCATTCTGTTACAGCAGCCTGAACTGCCTAAGAAACCTGACATGTCAACTTTACTGACATTCTATTGATTCTTAAGGTAGGAGGAGCTTATAACCAAGCATTTGGTACCTAGGCTATTTATAAGTCTAATACCTTCTATAATAAGTTATTCATTTACTCAGTTGTCTCACACAATTAATTAGAAGCAATGTTTCTATTTCAAAATATGTTTCAAGTTCTAATATAACAAAATCCAAGGCATAAGAACTTGTTACCTCAAAGTGTCTGAAATACCTCATATATCTCATGGTGTATAGTAAAACAGAAGAGTGAGTAAAACCCAGTCTTCTCTCTTGAGTTTTTCCTTTACTCTCACATGATTACTACACTCACAATACTTCACCTCTGACACTTCTAGTCACCAAATGTGTGGGTTTTTCCCCCTGTACCAAGCAATTCTGTGACACTATGTGGGTGTTTTATAATTTAACTCAGTTCCAATACTCTCTACCTGGAGACAGCATCAGATCCCACAGGTGAAGGGCTCAGTCCCACAAGATTGCTCCCTCTCTAATTCAGATGCCAATTTCAAGTAGTAGGTTCCCAGGATTTGATTAATTGCCAGTGCAGTTTACAAAACTCAGGGAAATATTTACTGTAAGTAAATGTTTCCAGTTTCTTAAATGATGCAATGAATGATGCACAGATAAACAGCCAGGGCAAGGTCTGGGAGGGTCCTGAGCACTGGTGCTTCTGTCGCTGTGGAGCTGGGGTGCACCACCCTCCCAGTATGTGGCCGTGTTCACCACCTGGAAACTCCTGGAACCCCTTACCACTGAAATTTTATGAAGGCTTCCTCATGTAGTCATGATTATTATTATTCACTCCATTTCCAGCCCCTCTCCTCTCTCTGAGAAAGTATGTGTGTGGAGAGGGTACTTAAAACTCCAAGCTTCTAATTATGGCTTGGACTTTCTGGTGACCAGCCCCATCCAGCACCTCATCAGAACAAAATATCCTTCCAGTGCTCTCATCACTTAGGAATTTACAAGAGTTTTAGGGGGGCTACGTCAGGAACCAGGAGCAGAGACCAGTGTGTGTGTGTGTGTACATGTATGTATATACATATACACACATATACACACACACATACATACATATATATCTTATTTCACAACAAAATGGTTAATACCATTAACTAAATAAAACAAATTCAAGCTAATGAAGTCTGTCAACTCACTGGCCAAAGATCCCTCTGTTGACCTAAAGCAAGTTTAATTTGAAGGAGTTCGGAGTCTGAGACATAGTTAAGGATGTAAAGAAAAATCCTAGACATTTTCAAAACAATTCATCCCATTAAGTGTTGATGGCTCAGGCACTTCTAATCGTTTTTTTTTGCTATTAATAAACAGCATAATAAGAAAGAATAAAAATAATTGATTTGTTAGTGATGAAAAATTCATTTTTTTAGGCAAGTCAAGGAAATTTTAAATATAAAATTTTTCTTTGCCAATTTGGGCCTCTTCCAGCCCCTCTAGTGTGCATTGTGCACCGGCATTATGCGTTAACCAGACCCCCTCAGTAGCAGAAATACCTGTTCAACCATAAAGATCAAATTTCCTCCTTAAGGCACCAGCCACGTAACTCCTTAGAAGATAATATGCCTTTCTCAGTCCTGTAAGGGGTCACAATGACCCACCACTCACCTTGTGCATGCAGATATCTTTGGTGAACTTTATGTACAATGTCAACATATCACTTCCCTTAAAGATAATGAACAGACTGGTGTAGAACAGACAGGTCAGACAATCTGAAGAGGTACTGGAATGCACCTGATGGAAGTTCTTAGCTTAAATACTACTTTAAAAGATTATCAGTTCTTTCATTAAAATGTGTGACTGAGCATTTGATAAAAATAATGATGGCTAGGCGACTGACTAAATATATCATTCTATGAGATCAATGACTGTAATAGTGTAACTCTAGATGTGGGAAGAAGCAACAAGAGAGAACCATGTCCTGGACCATAACAGACTAGCAAGACAGGAGGTCCAGAGTCTATAGGCTCCTATTAACAGGGCCTAGTCCAATAGTAGCCCATCGAGTGGCCTATCAACGAGATCTTCGCCTGACCTCGGAATGAGCAATCCTAGAACCATGGGACAAATCAGTCACAAAATGCCTTCCAAGCCTCAGTCAAAATTAAGACTGAAAGGGAAAAGACTACAGAATAAAGAATGTTGCCTACCATCTAGTTCTACAAGAATCAAGTCATCGGCCACTGCAGTTGCTAATCTACAGTCCACCCTGAAAGGAATTTGGGGTGAAGATTAGGATGAGGCAGTTTGTGCTCCAGGAAAACTAGCAGAACTGGCCCTCAGAGCTTTTCAAGAGAAAATGTTAGGAATCCAGTTCATTGCACCTCCTCATACTTAGAAAAGTACTAAGCCCATTAACTATGATATCTGTTCCCCACAAAGGCAGGAACCTTCTACCAAGACGTGAGCCTGATTGCATGCACCCCTTTGTCCAAATCATATATACTGGCCTCCCCTTTATCACTTCAGAAGAGTCCTTGGAGCTCTCCGAAAGACAGTCTTCCCGGTTACAATCCTCAGGTTGGCTCAAATAAAATGTTCCTTTTCTTTTTTAGATTGACTATTGATTACTTTTTTCATTGACATCAGTATTTGGATAATAAATGAAACAAACAAACAAACAAAAAATGAAGAAAGTGAGTTGAAAAGCCAGAAGTTGAAATGAAAGGGACAGAAAAAAGAACTCTGTAGCTGATACAACTTCAGCCCAAGGAGGTTAACCACAGAACAAAAGAAGGGCAATCAAAACACACAAGGTTCCCTTGAATAGGAAAGAGGCGGGTGATAGTGAAGAGACACAGGATCAGGAAACCCTCCGCGGTCCCATCAAGGGACAGAGTTAGCTGAGGACAGCTTGAGTACCACCTCAGAGGGCCCCAGGGTGGATGGAAGGGACAGACAGCCTGCAGGCAGACACTTGTGGGTTTGGGATGTTCATGTGAGTTTAAATCAAGCAAATAAAGCCCGATATCCACCGATGTTCCCACTCTCCAACCAAGTGGGAGCAGACATCAGCGATTTACAGCACTGGATGGGAAAGTCATTGTTTTCATGCCTTTTAATGACATGAAAGCGCTAAGGAGAAATGGTACGGAAATGCCCATTTTATTGATTGTATTATTACAAAAGCATCTTTATTTAGTCCCTTTTAATCACATTTTTCATTGATTGCATTCTTAGTACGTGTCCACTAATATATACATAAGTTAACTTTTTAAATCAGGTTTTCAAGAGGTTTGATATCAGAGATACTCACCTCGCCCTCAAGTTTACACCTTTTCCTAGAGAGTTTCTTGTCTCTAACTTGGGAAGAAAGACAAGTTAGGATATTAGAGTTAAGTCTGCAAATACATGGAATGAATCAGGAAGGCTTGGGAACAGGGACCCAGTTCTCCAAGGCTGATTATTAGAGAAACTTTTCCAGGGATGAAAGATGGAAGCACAGCACAACAGAATCCATTTTTCCAAGATAAACAAACTGAAAGATGTAGAAAGAAGTGAGAAGATAGGCCAAATTCACATTATTAAATAGAAGTATAAAGGGGGAGTGTATAGCTCAGTGGTAGAGCACGTGCTTAGCATGCATGAAGTCCTGGGTTCAATCCCCAGCACCTTCATTTAAATAAATAAATGAATAAACCTAATTACCCCCCCACTAAAAAAACAAAAAAGAAGTATATTCGTAAATCATTTAAGTAAACAGATAACAGACGAATGGATTTTCATTGTTAAAAAAATTTAACATGCAGACATCAAAATGTGCTATAACTTGGCTCCCATTTTCAGTTCCTTAAAACACCTTTGCATTTTATACATCTGTAGTTACACAGTTAACTGTCTATTGAAAATGTGGGGCTTTGTCATATTTCAAATAAATGGTGTCATTCTGCATATACTACGCAACTTAAATTTTCACCCAGTATCTCTGGAACACTGTTCCACGACTTCACATTGAAAACCAAACCAAACCAAACCAAACAATTCAACATGGTATTCCATAGTATGAACATGCCATGGCAAATGTCATCAGTTCCCTATTGATTTCCCAGTTTGCACATATTGATACTGTGATGAATGTAGTTGTCTGTGCTTCCTTGTAAACATGAGCAAGTGTTTCTCCAGAGCAGAGTATTTTCAGTCACATACTATTTCTAGCACAGACAACCCTGTCTGTAAGGATCTAAATTCCACTCTGTCCCTTTTCAGCTGTATGTTGGGCAGTTGACGTAACCTCTCTGTGCCCTTGTTTCCTCATTTCCTCAAAGTAAGGTCATCATAAAATGTCTTCATAGGATTCGAGTGAGGATCAAATGAGCTGATACAAAGTCCCAAGAACAGTGCCAGGGACGTTGGGAGGGCCACAGAGCACTAGATATTATTGTGACTGAGACAATGTGTATGAACCTCCTTCATTTTGAACAGGTAACTCTGGAGAGGTAGTCAGGGGCAGGCTGTGTAGGCTTTGTTTGTCCAGCACTCTCAGGACAAAAAAAAAAAAATCCCTCCCCATGACACAGAATGTGAAAGGAGAGGTGGCCAGATTTATTTAAATAATGATATTTTATTTACTCTGCCATCAATATGTGCCAGGCCTTTTGTTAGTAGACATCTCAATGAATTCTCAAAACAAACCCCTGTGACATGGCCTGTTTCATTCCCGTTCTACAGATGAGATACATCAAGACCCAGAGTATTTACTTATTTTCTTCTTTAAACTTCCTTCCTCTGTACATTTACACACCCTCATACAGATATATATGTGTGTACATGTGTGTAGATCAGTGTATGTGTGTACACATAAGTTTAATTGTAATATGTGAACTTGTAGGTCAGATTCTTTGCAGATAGCTATTATTTCAGAGTTGCACCGAACAAAGGGAACAGAGGTTTGAGTAAAGAATCAGACAAAATGAAGAATAGTGAGGAAAAGGTGAAGAGGTCCCTCTACAAGGTCTAGTATGATCTAGAGCTCTGTCCTTGAGATGTATGCGGTCAACCGGGCTGATGGGCTTTTAGAATTCCTGACTTTCGATGGGGAGGGTATAGCAGAGTGGTAGAGTGCACCCTTGGCATGCACAAGGTCCTGGGTTCAATCCCCAGTACCTCCATTACAAAACAAAAACTAATAATAAAGAATTCCTGGCTTTCTCCTGCACGATAGCTTATAAAGCCCTAGTTAGAGCTCAGAGAGGCCAGGGCTGAGGCTATACAGGAGACAAGGGCAGGACCCTGACTTGCCACTTAGCTGATAAAAGCAGCTGAAAGATATGCTGGCCCTCTGGGCCTCAGAAACAAGCATAGATCTTCCTGATTTGGGATATCATGAGGATCAGCGGATAAGGCTGAAACTGAGGAATCTTGCTGGGTTGCCTGTAGGGACAGGTTGGGCTAAAGCTGCAGGGCCAGGCAGAGGTGGACAGCAGAATTTGAAAGCCTGGATAGAACACAGCCACTTCCTCTTGCTTTGCCCCAGTAATGACTGCCCATATGGTGCATCTCCTGCTTCTGCACCCCTCATTTAATTCTTAAACCAAACCTGATTTTTGAGGCCAGGTCCTTCTGGGCAGTGTAAACTGGAGGCATGATTTTCTTAAGCAGAACCTCATTTTGTCCGCAGATTGGCCTTGACTGAGGTGCCTTGTTAATTTCTCTCCTGGTGACTGGGATGAACGCCACTGGGCTCCAGCTGTGCTTCCTCTCTGGTCCCTGAAGAGTCCCTCTGCGGAGCTACTGTTTGCCTACTGTGGCTCTTTCATCTTCCAGAGGCAAACATGAATAGAAAAATACTTTGTGTGATCTCAGAAAGGAATAGATCTTTCCATTACTGTATGAAGAATGATTCCTAAAAAACACTATTGTTATAGCATATTTGGTGGATAGACAGAAGGAAAGAAAGTAATGATACAAAACTAAGAAAAAACCTGGACTCCTGTAATCATCAATTGCCGTGTAACAAATTATTTCAACATTTAGTGGTTTAAAACAATAAACACTTAACATCCTAGTTTCTGTGGATCAGGAATCCAGGTAGTTCTGTCTCGGGTTCTCCCGTGAGGTTGCAGGTAAGATGCCATCAGGGCTGCAGTGATCGGGAGACTTCACTGAGCTGCAGCATTCTCTTCAAGAAAGGTTCACTCGCATGGTGCCGGCTATTGGAAGGAGGCCTCCGTCCCTCCCAATGTGGGATGGTGGCTGGATTCCCTCAGAGGGAACAACTGAGGAGAGAGAGTGAGGGGAAAGCCTCATTGTCTCTCAAACCTAGCCTCAGAAATTACACATCGTCATTTCCACAACATTCTCTTGTTTACATAAGGCAGCTGGATTTAATGGGACAGGTACAACCAAGGGTGCGAACACCAGCAGTCAAGGAGCTCGGGAGGTCCGTTTCTCCATCAGTCTGGAAGGACGTTGTTGAGCTGTCACGGAGAGCAGCTACCATGGCATCCAGTTCTCTGATGAGACCTCAGACGTGTGGCCTTCTGGCCAAGCATCTGTGACTTCACGCTGTTGGAGCATTCATTGTTACTCTGGGGGTTGCAGCTTTCTCTAAGTTTGCTATGGCCGGGCCAAGAAGGAAGGGATATGCAGATTTCTACAGAAATTATGAATCCATAAAAGATTATGAGGAAGGCTGGTATCTTAAATAGTGCAAAGTGATTTTGGACTGTAAAGAATTTCTTTGAGTTGAGTTCTGTGGAAGTTTGTCACTTACCCGTACTCCTGGACTATGATACTGTGAACTATGAATATCTGGGTTAAGGAATAGTTTCTCTTAATAAATGAACAACTAACAAATACCAACAAAACAAAACAAAACTTTGGGAGACATTTTGGTGGCTGACGACCTCACTAGTCAAAAGAAACTGAGATGGAATTCAAACAGAGGCGGCAGACCATGGTGTCTAGATTGTGTCTCCGGGAGTCAAGCTGGCCCGGAGAGGTCCACGGGGAGCTCAGGTTCCAGAGGACACCTCACCAGCAGCCCACGTACACGTCTCAGGCAGGCTTTAGAGAGGCTGGGCTTAGAATTGGTGCTCTGAGGAGACGAAGCTACTGGTAATTTCCTGCTGTCCTTGGTGCCCGATCCTTTTCACTCTTCTCTGGGTAAATCTTGGTAGTTACATTCAGTGTGTTAGGTAGTCCCTTTCCTCATTTCAAAATGTGCCTAATTTTCAAAGAATTCCAGTCCTTCTTTGAGAAATGGTATATCTTCTTATTGTTCCAGTGCTTTGGTAACTGGAAACATTTTTTGTCCTTGGCTACTGCCTTTCTTTACTGAAAAATGGTACAACCCAAGTCAAGGAAATTTTACCCTGAGTGTTTATCTCTAGGCTTCTTTTTCATTATTTGCCTCCTGCACTTCTGTCAGATTTTAAGGGATGAGGCTTTTACCCTTGTACAACCAGTGCTTTTTCCAGACCTGGCACATAGTAGGTGTTCAACTAAGGTATGTTGCTAAAATATGTTTGAATGTTAGAGGCCACCAAACGTAGAAATATATTCTGTAGTTTATCCCTCTGCTGCTTACATAGCCAGTGGAACACATTTCTTCCATAGTTTGTTTTTAACTGCTTCAAAGTTACACCTTTACAGCTTTTTTTCTTTTTTGGTTAACTTAGCTGAAAATGCCCATTTCCTCCATACTGTAAGAGGGGTATCTCAGTTAGTGTTAATGATCTCCTGCCCTACGTCCCTTCTTCCACCTTGTCTTGAGGGAATTTTCTTGGTGATTTTCCACCCCTTTCAGACTTAATGGTGGATAGTGAGTGGGTTGGGGGTGAGTATTGGTAGAGATATGTAAGGGCTATGATCAGGATTGTGGTTTTGTGGCCCTGATTCTCCTCTTTCTGAAGAAGATGTCAAAAATCTATTAACTACTTATCCTTGTGGCTAAAGAGTTAAAGCCCAGGTTAACTCAAGAAAAGATAAGAAATTTGTTAATAGGGTTCCTTAGAACTCATTGATGAAAAAGAAGTCAGATCTTTGGAAGGAAGTGGAAACAGGTGGTGGAAAACTAACATTACCTTCCCATCCTCCTGTCTTCTTTTCTTGTCTCTATATAGACCAGTTTCCTCCTCTTCAATCCCTACACATGGCCACGTATGGCCACTGAGTTAGCTGGGTCCTCAGGGAAGCAGACATTGAGATGAGGTCTGACACCAAATACAGGCTCAGACCAGGATGCAAATGGAATGGGAGCTCCAGAGGGAAGATGATCTGTAAGAGATGTTCTATGTTAACAGAAACATCCAGGCTCTAATCCTCTTGTGGTGCTTAGTCATTAGCTGGGGGTTGCCTGGAAAAAGATTGTGAAGGCTCTCGCAGCTCACACTTCTGGAAGCTGTCAGCTAACTCCACTCTTGAGCTTCCCAACTCCACTCTTTTCTTGAAGGGAGAATTGAGCAGTACCATTCCACGGCAGCTGCAGCCACCAAAAAGTCAAAAGCTTCCTTGTCCTGAGCATCTATGTAGAGTTAGGGTTAGTTAACCTGTGGGAGAGTCTGTGTGTATCTGCCCCTTGACAAAGTACCAAGAGAGAGCCTGGCCTCAGAGAGTGGGTTCATGCTTTACAAAATGACCACATGCTATGGTTGAGAAGATGAGAGACTGAATTGGCTTCAAAAGATATTTTCCTTATAAAGATGGATAAAATTGGAAGGTTGGAGGTCACCAAATAGAGAAATATATTGACTATTTTATTCACTTTGGTGCCAAAATACATGGTGAAACAATTTATATATTTCTCCTTTTTGTAACCTCATCAGAAGAAAGCATACTTCCGTTCAAATGTGTTACTTTGAGATAATCAACTTACACTTTGGTTTTATGTTTAATTGCTTCAGTCATAGTCTGTTCTTCTGCTCTGACCCCATGTCTCCCCCTTAGAATGTTCTCATAATTCTTCTTGCCCGTTCTATTCAGATTTGCATCATTTCTTCATGCAGGGGAGGGGGAGGTAAACTAATACAAGGATTGGTAGAAATGTGTAATGGGAAAGCAGTGCTCCATCCCTGGAGGGATTGCAGAGATTAGTGTCACACAAGGACTTGAAAGATGCAGGGTTGGAGATTCCTACCAAATCTTCATTCAACTCTCCTATTTAGCCTGTGCAGAAGACAGATGGATCTTGGAGATTGATGGTGGATTATCGTAAATTTAACCAGGTGGTGCTTGAAGTGGCAGTGGCAGATAGAGATGTTCTTTGGGAACTTTGGCAGGCCTCTATAGGTGAATCTCAGCACAGACCTTTAGGATTTTGGAGCAAAGCCCAAATCCACCATCTGAAGATAATTACCCTCCTTTTGAGAAACAGCTCTTGGTCTGCTACTGGGTCTTACTTAGCACAGACTGAATGCTTAACTATGGGTCCCCAAGATACCATGCAACCTAACCCACCATATCATAAAGTTGGGCATGTGAAGCAAAACCCCATCATCAGATGGAAAGGGTATGTATGTGATTGGGTCCGAGCAGGTCCTGAAGGCACAAGTAAGTCAAAAGAAGAAGTGGCCCATGTGCCCATGGTCCCCACTCATGCTACACTGCCTTCTTTCTCCCAGCCTGCACCTGTGGCCTCATGGGGAGCTCCCTATGATCAGCTGACAGAGGAAGAGAAGACTAGTTTATGGATGGTTCTGCATGATATGCAGACTCCACCCCAAACCAGACATCTACAGCACTACAACCCCTCTCTGGGACATCATTGAAGGACATGGTGAAGGGAGATCCTCCCAGTGGGCAGAACTTTGGGCAATGCACCTGGTTGTTCATTTTACTTGGAAGGAGAAATAGCCAGACATGCAATTACATACTAATTCATGAGCTGTGGCCAATGGTTTGACTGGATGGTCAGGGACTTAGAAGAAACATGACTGGAAAATTAGTGACAAAGAAATCTGGGACAGGGGTATGTGAATAGATTTCTCTGAATAGGCAAAAAACATAAAAATATTTGTGTCCCATGAGAAAGCTCACAAAGGGTAACCAGCAGAGGAGAATTTTAATAATCCAGTGGATAGAGGATCAGCTTCCCTTTCGTAGGTAAGCATCATCCAATCCACTGAAGGCCTGAATAGAACAAAAGGCAGAGGAAGGAGGAATCGGCCCCCTTTTTCCTGATGTACTGTATAAGCAGGGACATCTCATCTCATTTTATTCTATCTTCGAAGTAGGATTTACAGCATCAGCTTCCCTGGTTCTCAGGCCTTTGGACTCAGACTGTATCACACCACAGGTTTCCTTGGTCTCCAGCTTGCAAACAGCAGATCATGTAACTTCATAATCACGTGAGCCAATTCTACATAACAAATCTCCTTTTATACATACATATGTGTGTGTGTGTGTGTTTGTACAAATATATGTATATATTACATAGGTAGGGTAGATAGATCATCTACTATTGGTTCTGTTTCCCTGAAGAAACCAAAGAAGTAAGGAAACTAAAAGTATATTAGGACTCTCTGGTTGAAGGAAAATAAACTGCTGTTAACTAGCTCAGGTAAAAAGCGAGGAATTGATGGAAGCATGCCAGCTGTGTGTTTTTTGAACCTGACAATGCAGTTAGGCCTTTGGAAGGGTGTAGTCATTCTCTGTTGCTGTGTAACAGACAAACTGCACAAGCTTGAACAACATCAATGCAGACTCCCAGAGTTCCTAGGCGTCAGGAAGTGGGTCCAAGTACGCTGGGTCCCACAGGCCGCCATCGCCGGGGCTGTGGTTTTCGTTTGGAGCTCAGGGCCCTCTCATGAGCTCACGTGGTTGTCTGTTGGCAGAATTCAGTTCCTTGAGGTTGGAGGACCGAAGCCTCAGCTCCTAGAGGTTGCCCCTCTCCTTGGGCAGCTCACACTCGCTGTGTGTTCCTCCTTGAGCTGGCAGGTGTGTTCCTCCATCTCTGCTGGTTTTAAGGCTTCTCGCCTGATTAAGCCAGACCCAACAGAGATGATGTCCTTCTTAATTCAAAATAAAGTGACTTCGGGCTTGAATTACATGTGTGCAATCCCTTTTGCTGTATAACATAGTAAACCATGGGAGTGATATGTTTTCATGTCCTTCTCACACTCAAGGAAGAGGGGATCTTAGGGGTCATCTAGAATTCTGCCCCCCTCAAGTGGACTTAGTCTAAGTGCTGGAAAAATGACTAACTCTCCTCTCCTCTGTCTTACCTCTCTCCTCCCTGATGACTTTGGACTCCCCACATTATCAAGGGAGGCTCTTTAGATGGGATGAACGTCCAGCTCTGGTCCAGCCAGTCACTGGCTGTGGGAGTGATTTCATGTATAAATGGCTCCTGGGTGACAGTGGAGGAATAGGGAGTGATGGTTAATGGGTACAAGGCTTTCTTTTGAAGGTGATGAAAATGTTCTAAAATTAGCTTATATGTGATCCAGCTCTGTTTGTAAAAATGGCCAAGAAGCAATGAGCACCCCAGGCTGCCAGACTGAGATCCTCTTAATATTATTCCCCATTAAAAAGACCCTGGTCTCTTTGGAGGTAATGTCTTATTTTAGCTTTGGGTCATGGAAGGGATCAGATGAGCCTGGGACAACCTGTGTCTCAGAGAACAAGTTCAGAAACCAATGGAATGATGTGAAAAGTTCGGCCAGTTTTAGCCCCTTCACACTGGCTACAGTGTCGTGCAATCTGGCTTGGCCTCAGATGCCCCTGTTCAAGGGAGTAGATCAGAGGAAAGTTTTGTCATTCGGGCCCCCGGGAGGTCGTGCAGATGATGCTGGAGGCTGGACTGGACTTTGCTCGTGCCTGCAGGGTCACTGTGAGGGCCCTGCGGTTTTTCTGGACTTTTCCAGTGGCACCAGGTGCCTTTTTAGACTTTTTTTTTTTTCCTATTTCTGTTCCTCCCACTGCCAACTTCACAGGATTTTACTATCTCAGATATACTGTACACCTGCTTGTATGCTATGGCCCTTTGAAGGGCCACAAACCATAGTAATTTAATATCTAAGATTTTAGCCTCCAAGAATTAGTTTTTGCCCCTCCCAGGGGTTAAGACCACCCTCTATTCATCTGTGCTAGAAAAGTGTGAAGAATATGGACATTCCTCAGCTCACTAGACTTGGGGACCCAAGTGACTATTATTTCCGGACCAAAAAGAGCCAGGGTAAATATTTTCCATTAGTGGGAATCAAAGCTGGAATCATCTCTGACTGAGACCCTTGGGTGACTTTGACAAAGGAACAGCATAATAGGTTTTAACCCCTTCTCTGCCACGGGGTTAAGCCCAGGGGTCTTGATCCAAGGGTGCTGACCCTGAATGTACCCCCTACATGCTAAAGCCCACCTCAACGTCTGCTTTCTGGGGAACCCACCTGTGGCACCTCTAATGTGTTGTTGACTTACTACTGCTGGTTCTGAGAGCTCCCGGTTGAGCATCTGTGGTATGTGCAAAACCTTGGCACCATGAAGACTGCTGGGTCTCCTCCCTTCACCTCTGGAGCCACTCTCGCCCTCTCTGTGCTCAGGGAGACTGACGCGTGGATTGCAGCCACGCGCCCCTTGCCTCTGGCTTCCTGCCAGGCTTGGCCAGTGGGAGGCAAGAGGGGGAGAGTGAGGTCAGAGTGCTTCCTCCCCGGCCCCTCACCGTCCGGTCACCCGGGAATGTTGCTGAGTCTACAGCGAGGGCGAGCTCTCCTGTCGGTGGAGCCTCTTTACAGCTCTCACTCTGGGTTCCCGTAGCTGCCTCCTCTCCTCGGCTTCTCCGGGCCCAAAGGTTGTAATAACTCTCTGCTCATGGTAGTCCTGCGGACATTGCCTTACTCTGCACTTTTCCTCAGTCTTGCCCACCTCTCTAGCGGTCTACTTTTCGAATTCTCCCTAAATGACTCAGCTTGCAGATGCCACGTTTCCTGCTGAGAACCTGACTGATACACATAAAGTGATGACCTGGGACCGTGATTTGGAAACTTGGGGAAAGTTTCAGTGGGTAAAAGTCAAGCAGGGTGTGTGTGTGTGTGTGTGTGTGTGTGTGTGTGTGTGTGTTGTTGTGTGTGTGTGTT